CACTTTCTCGACTTTTCCACAGCGTTCCTTCAGGGCAACCTATACGAGCAGGTCTACCTGCGCCATCCACAGGGCTTCACCGGTACTTTCCCCCCTGGGACCCAGTGACTCCTCCGGCGTCCGGTCTACGGCCTGCGACATGCGCCACGTGACTGGCATGACACGCTGCGTGCTATGCTTGCTGACCTGCAATTCTTCCCATCGTCTGCAGACCCCTCACTCTTCGTTCGTTCTAGCCAGACCCCGTTCTACGTAGACATCCTTGTCTACGTAGACAACCTGGTCTTCGCTACTACAGACAGAGACGCACTAGCCTCCGTGAAGGCTGAGCTACTGAGGAGACACACCTGCACTGATCTAGGAGAGCTGCATCGCTACCTTGGCTTGCAGATCTCCAGGAATAGAGCAGCGCGCACCATCGCTCTCACATAGTCACACTTGGTGCGCCAGGTCCTTCAGAGGTTCGGTCTTCAGTTCTCCTCTGCACAGCCCATGCCTCTGCCAGTAGACCTTAGGCTCTCTGCTCCAGTTCCTGAGGAGTCTGTAGAGCCTAGTGGTCCTTACGCAGAGCTGGTGGGTTGCCTCATGTACCTGATGACTTGCATTCGTCCATATCTCGCATTCAGCATCCTGGCACGCTTTGTGGCCACAGGGAGACACCGACCACAGCACTGGTCGCCAGCTAAGAGGGCTTTGCGATATCTAGCAAGTACATCGGGCATGGGAATCGTGCTGGGAGGATGCAGGCCAATGGTCCTTGCTTGGCACACAAACGTTTCGTGGGCAGACGACGTCGAGACCTTCAGGTCCTCCTAGGGCTACTACTTTAGCCTTGGTTCAGGTGCCATCTCGTGGAGGTCCACTCGCTAGTAGTGCCGCCCTGAGTTGCTTGTCTCTTGCCTGGCACCAGGGCCCTAGATATCAGCCTTTTTACGCAGATTCAGGGTTTTTTCAGACTTTTTTTTAGGGTACACACTGATCACTCAGCCTTTTTTGGATAAGTAACACTGAAAAATCAGCCTTTCTTTCGTAACGTATACTGATTTTTCAGCGTTTTTTTGTACCTGTAGCCTGACGAAACAGCGTGACTCTAGGGGGGAACGCTGAAACCGAGTATAGTGTGTTTCCCTCTCCCCCGGAATCACCGGTACCTGACTGGGGAGGCTCCCGTCAATCTCGTTATTTTGCCCACCGCGCCGCCCGACGGCGGCCCTGCAGAAACAGTCTGTTATGTTCTGTTCGGTGTCAGACTGTTCTGATTGGCACTTGACGATTTTTCCACTCCCGCTGGCGCCAGCACATGGGTGACTGAATGCTCCCATTGGCAATTGACCAAAATCTTGACATGCGGTCCAACCCCACCTATTCGGAGGACGCAGCACGGCGCGTCATGATGTAACAGCGCGGCAGGGACTGGATGGCAACGACCACCCACCTGCCTGTCCTGAACCGCGCATCACCCACCTTGCCATGCATGTTGGGCAAGGCGTGCGCGGCGCGTTCGTGGGACCCCTTGAACGAAGGTTCTGCCGCGCCTGTTTTATGAAAGCAGCCCGTCACAAGTTCTCTCCCAGGCTCGTTACCACCACCGTCCCACCCCTCACCAGCCTCATTTGTTCCTCTTCCAGAATTGTTACTGCGTTGTCAGAGAACCGCTACGCCACTGATTTTATCACGCCTGGTTCTGCCGTGGCTCGTGATGGCAGAATCAGGTGGTGATAACGAGCTCGCCACAGAGGACGATGATTGCCACATCCTAGAAGGCGATATGCGCACAGGCCTAGACTTACTCCTTGCTTCTTTAGGTAGTATTCAAGGCCCGTCTCCCAGACCTGCCGACCACGAGCCAACATCGCTGCCTGAGGGAACTCAGGGAGCCAGAAAGCACGCTGTTGTCCCGCCTATCGCTGGGCCGTTGGGATTGACTGCTGCACAACGCGGCGCTTCTGCTGTTGACAATCGACTGCCCGAGCCTACCCCGTCGAAGCGCTTAGGAAAGTATCGGCAATCACGACTCCCCTTCGCGCCACCTGTCAATCTGCCCGACCTGCCCTCGTCTTCCGAGTCCGAGGACGAAGGTGCAGAAGATGACCTCCCAGGAAAGGCTGGCGGTAAGAGGCACTTGACTATTGACGAGCAATACGGCGAGGCCCTAGACAAGTATAATTCACGCTGGTCGAGCTCATACCCTTGGCTCCTTTTTACAAAGACTGACTGTGGCATGCCCGCCTTCAGGTGCAGTCTTTGTACCGAGCATGCAGGCTTGAAGGGCAAAACAGGCAGGCGTGGCAAAGGGGCAACCGATGTGCAAGTCCAGGCCTTCAAGCGACATGCTGCTACGAGTCGCCATCAACTTGCCGAGAAGAAGCAACACGATCTGCTGCAGATGGCGACGAAACAGCAGAGGATCGACCTGCACCCGCTTGCCGAGGACTTGGAGAAACTGCACGTCACTGCACTTTGCGATGCGCTCCACTTCAGCAGCCGCTGCAATGAGCCGATGGAAACCTGGATCAATCTCGTCCGCTACTTGGCGGAACGCAAGACGAGGGGCTTCCCTGAGAAGGGATACGGGACGTATTACAACTCGTAAGCATCCATTTACCTTCCGTGTTTCGCTGCACCGTATCGCTCTCTTGTTATACATGTCATTTCATTTTATCCATTTGCCTCTTGTTTTACAGGTATGGCTTTGGACAGTTTACTCAAGCTATGGCAACCTGGCTCCAAACCACTCAGCTTGAGGATCTTCTTACAAGCCCCTTCATCGGCCTGAGCCTTGACGAGAGCACCGACCGCTGTCGTGGCAAACACATGATTGTGTTTGCCACGTTCATCCGCCAAGGGAGACTTGTGACTGAGTTCCTCACATTGCTGACAGTCGAGAAGGCTGATGCCGCATCGCTTCTTGCCCTCCTCCTCTCCCACATCCGTGCCATTGGGGTTGACCTGCGTCGGATTTCAGGCATCAGCACCGACGGAGCAGCTGTGATGATGGGTGCTAAGGGGGGGCTTGTAGCGCGCTTGCGCGTCCACATCCCCCACCTGGTGTTGTGCCACTGCATCGTACATCGGTAATTAGTATGGTTTTTTATATGCATGTTTGTTCGCATTGTATATATGTACCGATACTTACACTTTTTGTTATTTTATGTTTGTAGGGAGGCACTAGCTGTCAAGGCGGCAGCGGAGAACATCCCCGCACTCTCCATGGTAGATGATCTCATCCGCCAGCTTGCCGAGCTTCTTGGGCGATCGGGGCCTTGGCATCAGCGCTTCCTCGACCTTCAGGAGCTCTTCACCTCAACCAACCTAGAGCTCCAGGGTATTCACGCCATCAGGTGGCTTTCACGCGGTGAGGCTATCCTTCGTCTTCTTGCTGTTCTCCCTGCCGTGGTCGTCATGCTGTATGAGTTCCGTTTCCGCAACCCCAAGTTATACGCCATCGCCACTAGTTACCGCTTCTGGTTCTTCCTGAACTTTCTGGCTGATGTTCTTGAGCAGTTGAACATCTTGAACAAGACCTTTCAGCAGCGTGAGGTTAGTACTTGTGATTCAGCCCACCATGTCCTCTTGCCTCCTTTACTCACCCGTCTCCCCATCTCTATTCATACAGCTGGACTACACGAGCGTCCAGCAGCAGATCGCGCACACAACCGGCCTCATCGAGAGCCGGTACGTCGACTGCGGCGACGACTTCGGAGGCGGCAAGAAGACCCGACTTGTGCAGTTCATCACCCGTCACGGCCCGGGCGGTTCGCCCAACGTCATCGTTGAGGGCGCGGATTCTGATGGCCGCCCTGCTCGCTTCAGTGTAACTCTTCATTTCAACGAACTGGACGACTACCCAGGACGGGGTACACACAATGGCTGCGTCGACGTGTGCACCGAGGTTGCCGAAGACATGGCCAGGAACCTGCAGGAGCGTCTTGGAGATCTGGATTCCTTGAGCGGCGTTCGCCTTTTCTCTGCCGACCAGTGGCCAGAGAAATGGGAGCGGGAAGCGAGGCTGGCTCAGTGTGTCGAGTGGTTCCAATCACTCGTCACTCTGTTTCGCGCGGAGGATGCCGACGAAATTCTGCCAGGTGCAATGCTTGTTTTAACCTATTGCCTTATGCTTTCGTTTGTGGCTTGTTTTCTCGTCTTTCCAGCCTTGTAACGAACTAACTATCCCTAATCGTCCGTGTCTAAATGTGTTTCAGGCATTGACAAACGCCTGGCGATAAAAGAGCTGCGACACTTCGCCCCCATGCTTGCTCGTCTCCCGAAGAGTGACAAGAAGTTTCATGCTGCGCTGTCATTTGTGCTGAAGACCGCTGCCTTAAAGGACCAGTATCCCAACCTTGTGGGTCTGTGGGTGGCTGTGGCGGTGCTGCCTCTGAGCACCGTTGAGTGTGAACGCGGATTCTCCCGCCAGAACGTGATCAAGAGCTGGCTGAGGAATAGCCTGAAGGACACTAGGCTAGGTGATCTCATGTGCTTGTCCCTGTTAGACTACTCGCCGGACTGGGACGCTGTAGTACAGATTTGGCGGGCGTACCGTATAAGAAGAGACGCCCCTTCGGCACAGTCAAAGTGAGCACGGCGAGCAAGAAAGGAAAAGAGAACATGGACGAGGATGTGAATGCTGAGGGAGAGCAGGAAGAGACAGCAGCAGCAGCCATGGAGAGCCCTGTCAACGATGTGTAATTGTGGTTGATTAAATGTGTTTTTTTCACCTCAGCGTAAATTTCAGAGTAAACACTGAATCATCAGAGTTTTTTTCCCTTTTAACACTGAAGAAACAGTTATTTTTTTACAATCAACACTGACATATCAGGGGAAAGTAGGGGGGGGATGGCTGATTGATCAGGGTACCTCTAAACGAATCTGAGGCCCTGCCTGGCACTGCCCCTTGTCCAGTCTAGGGGGTGTGTAAAACATATTTGTGTATGTTACTGTAGACTAGATAGGGGCATGCCTTAGTGAGTACAGCAATTTAGGTCAAAACCACCATGTACCCTCTTTTCTAGTCATTTTGCTACTCTAAGATGTCGCACAAAAATCGTGGTCACACACATTCAAAACCATAAATAACGACCATCATCTAAAGCCCATGCCCCTGAGCATGAAAGATAGCGCAATACAGAAAATCTTTGTGACGATCAGGCAGGTTTAGGTCAAGGCACATCAAGGGCCTGCCCGTTATTACCAAATTTGGGGCACACCCCTGCTAAAAGGCTGAAGCATCAGGGCTCAGGGCCTCCAGACGACTAAGGAAAATTGAGCATGTTGACTGTCGGCAGCGAAGGAGTGCAGTCAAGGGTGAGTGTGGGAGCCGAGGCGTTATTAGGCACTCCGGAAGCCACGTAGGCAGAGGGGTCGGGAGAGCAGGCACTGCCGTCACTACACAGGGGCAACTGGCCCGTGGGTGAGCCACAGATGTTGCAGCCATCACCTCGCTGGGTGGATTCGTCAGCAGAGCTGGTCTTGAGGATGCAGGCGGAGGTGTTGAGGAAGCAGTTCATGCGGCACGTGCAGGAGGAGAGGGTGGCTGTGGGGAACTCGCCCGAGAGGAAGTTGAACTCTGTGTCGAGCGCCCTCACTGTGGCGCCTGGCTTGGGCAGCACGCCGGTGAGGTAGTTGTAACTGATTCCGCTGAGGCACCGAGCGACGGGTGGTTGGGGGGGAGGGGACGAGAGCAAGGGGAAGCAAGGGGAAGCTGTAATGGTGAGGAACTTGCAACTGGTCTGAACAGGATGGCAAGAGAGAGAAACTTGCTAAGGGAAGAATGAATGGGTGGGCAAAGGATAGAATGAATGGGTGGGCAAAGGAAAGGGAATGGAACAGATGGTAGCAGAGACAGAGGAGCGGGGGAATTGAGGAGGGTGTGGGATGAGGAGTGGGGGAACGGAGGAAGGTGTGGGATGAGGGACTTACAGGGCGGACAGGGCTGGCATGTTCATGAGTGTGAACGGCACAGAGCCATAGAACCAGTTGAAGTTGATGTTCCTGCTCAGACGTCCATCCACCACGCCCACAACCCCCATCCGAACCCCCCCACACAAACAACAAACCTCCCCCCCCACCCCCCCCTTCCCCCACCTCCCCCCGCCTCTCCCCCCATTCCCCTCCAACATACACAGACATGGTCAATAGGAAGAAGTATGAGTCAGAGATCACAGGTGTGAGGTGCAGGGGAGAGAAGAGGTGTGCAGGGGAGTGAAAAGGTATCCAGGGGAGTGAAAATGTATGCAGGGGAGAGAAGGCGAGACACTGAGAGTGGGTGCTGAGCTGGTGGCGGCATAGCGGGGCAGGGGCACACAGGGCGTTCCTCATGAAGCATGTTATGAGCCTATTTCTCAACTCACCAACACACACGGTGCCTCTCGCTCCTCATGAACACGGGGGAGGGGTGGAGTGCCTCTCACTCCTCACCAACACACACGGTGCCTCTCACGGCGAGAGAGGGCAAGGAGGGGTGGCGTGCCGGCAGTTATGGCGGGGCAGCAATAGTCACAGCAGCCCTCACAGCTTCTCACAGCGGCACTCACAGCTTCTCACAGCAGCCCTCACAGCTTCTCACAGCAGCCCTCACAGCTTCTCACAGCGGCACTCACAGCTTCTCACAGCGGCACTCACAGCTTCTCACAGCGGCACTCACAGCTTCTCACAGCGGCACTCACAGCTTCTCACAGCGGCACTCACAGCTTCTCACAGCGGCACTCACAGCTTCTCACAGCGGCACTCACAGCTTCTCACAGCGGCACTCACAGCTTCTCACAGCGGCACTCACAGCTTCTCACAGCGGCACTCACAGCTTCTCACAGCGGCACTCACAGCTTCTCACAGCGGCACTCACAGCTTCTCATAGCGGCACTCACAGCTTCTCACAGCTTCTCACAGCGGCACTCACAGCTTCTCACAGCGGCACTCACAGCTTCTCACGGCGGCACTCAGCTCCTCACGGCAGTGCCTCAAGGGGGAAAGGTGTGGGGGGGCCGGCACTCACAGCTCGTTGAGGCTGGCAAGGGGCGTGAGGGGCGCCACAAATGAGGCCAGGCGCTCGAAGAAGAGGTTGGACGCCAGGTGGCTAAGAGAGAGGGGTAAGGGGGGAAGGGCAGGGATTTGAGATGTTTTGAAACGGGCATGAGAGCAGCATTAGGGGCGCCACAAATGAGGCCAGGTGCTGGAAGACGAGGTTGGACGCCAGGTGGCTGAGGGGGGGGAGAGGCAGGGCAGGGAAATGATCGTCTCAAAACGGGTGATCGCTGAGGCAGATTGCACTTTAAAGCCTGTTGCTATTGAGTGGAATGGTGCTCTAAAGAGAGAAAATGAACAATGGAATTATATTTGCACAGAACAGGTAGAGTGGAGAGATGCAGTTTGAGGGGAGAGCTCACAGAGCAGTGAGAGTAGAGAGGTTGCTGATGTCTGAGGGCAGACTGCCGCTCAACTGGCAACTCCGAAGGTCCCTGCAGGCCAGGAGACAGTGAAAAGGAGGCACAAGAGGTGAAAGAAGAAAGGCATACAGACAGTGGAAAAGCAGGGAAGAAAAGCAAGCAGGGTGAAAAGGCAGGGCGAAATGGCAGGGTGAAAGGGCAGGGTGAAAGGGCAGGGTGAAAGGGCAGGGTGAAAGGGCAGGGTGAAAAGGCAGGGTGAAAGGGCAGGGTGAAAAGGGCAGGGTGAAAAGGCAGGGTGAAAGGGCAGGGTGAAATGGCAGGGTAAAAAAGGAGGGTGAAAAACCAGGGTGAAAAAGAAGGCACTCACAGGGAGACAATGTGGCCGGCGGGAGAGCAGCGCACGCCGGTCCAGGAGCCAGGGATGGGCGTCTGGCCCTCGAGGGTGCACGACCCCGCCACACTCCAGTCAAACAACACCCCCCCCGTGCTCGCCGTGTCCCCCGTGCTCGCCGTGTCCCCTGTCGATGCCATTGCCGTGGAGGCAGGGAGGGTTGCGGCAGACCAGTCAGTGAAGGTGACTCCCAGGGCGGACTTGAGGGACAGTAAGACGTTGCCCTGCGCGGCGTCCAGCCCCACGCCCACACAGAACTGCGGGAGCACGGCGGCAGAAGCACTGTTGGGCGTGGCTGAGGCGAGCGGCTCGGTGGTGTTGGGGGCGCAGGTGCCGCCGCCACAGATAAGGATGGAATCACCGGGAGAAGTGGAAGCAGCAGAAGCAGCGGCAGCAGCCCTCGCATCTGGGGAGTCGCAGACTGAGCATGAGCCTGCTGGGCGCTGCTGGGTGCTGCCGGTGGTGTTGCAGGCTCCCGCACTTGTGAGGCAGTTGGTTGTAACGGAGCACGAAAGGTTGCCAGTGCCAGGGAAGGTGCCGGATAGCCAGTTGCCCTGCACGCGGATGGACTTGAGGGCGGCGCCGGGGGTGGGCATGGCGCCATACAGGTAGTTGTGGCTCACTCCGCTGGGGGAGGGGTGGGGGTGGAGGAGAGAGGAAGAGAGGGCGGTGAGCGTGAGAGTGGGAGGTGCGAGGGTGCGTGCGCTGAGGCAGCAGCACCGGGGGTGGGCATGGCGCCATACAGGTAGTTGTGGCTCACTCCGCTGGGGGAGAGGGCGTGGTTTTGGGATGGGTGGATGGGGAGGAGGGAGTGCATGGGAAGTGCCAGCCAGTTACTTTACACGCTAAGGGCCTTGAGGGCAGTGTGAGTGTTCGAAAGTTATGTATTTTCCAGAGTTTTGTATGTCTGAGAGTTTGTATGTTCGAGAGTATGTATGGCATGTGCATGGCGCCATACAGGAAGTTGTAGCGCCATGCCCATGGCGCTACAGCAGGCAGTGGCATGGCTGGGGGGAGTGATGGGGTGGCGGAGGGGAAGCAAGGATGAGTGGGTGAGTGAGCGGGAGGAGGTTGTATGGCAGCCACTCACCCACTCACAGCGAGGGAGAGGACGAGGTTATATGCCAGCCACGGCAATAGCAGAGGCAGGAGGCAGAATGTGCAGAAGCTTAGGATGCATCGGGGTGGATGCGGATGCGAGAGCACCAGGAAAATTCGATTTGCTGTGGGGTGGGTGCTAAGCTACAGCTGTACAACAGACAACAGCAGCGCAACCAGGTGAGCTGTGTTGCTGAGTTGCTTAAGGTTGCAGGGCGGTGTGAGTCATAACGAGGTGCTTGAGGCCGTGGTGACAAAGGTGGAAGGGACAGGCCCCGTGAGGTGGACATGTAGTTTTGACACGGGAGGAAGGGTGGAGGAAAGACCAGCGTGGAAGGGTGGAGGTTACTACAACTGTCCAGGGGCGAATGCCAGCGCAAGCGCGGGTACTTAGGTGGGAGATGTGCGTTACAGTGAGGTGAGTGAGGCGAGGGTGACAAGGGCGGAAGGGATGGGTCCTGTGAACCAGTTGAAACCGAAGAAGCTGCAGCAGGGGAGGGGCGAGGGTGCAGAACAGAGAATAGGTAGGGGGTGAGAAGTAGGCGAGAGGTGTGAGCCGGAATGAGGGTGCAGAGGGCGGCGATGGTGACAAGGGACGAAGGAATGGATCTTGTGAACCAGTTGAAACCGAAGAAGCTGCAGCAGGGGAGGGGCGAGGGTGCGAGGCAGTGAATAGGTGGGGAATAAGAGGTGTGGAGAGGTGTGGAGAGAGTTATGGAGAGAAGTATGGAGAGAGGTAGGGGATGAGAGGTATGCAGAGAGGTGTAAGCCGGAATGAGGGCGCAGAGGGGGGCGACGGTGACAAGGGACGAAGGAATGGGTCTTGTGAACCAGTTAAAGCCAAAGAAGCTCCAGCAGGGGAGGGATGGCGATGGCGAAAGAGGGGATGGCAATGGCGAGGGGTAGAAGCTGCAGAAGCAGAGGGGTGAGGGGGCTGAGCAGTGAACAGAAAGGGGATGAGAGTTATGAAGAGAATCAAAAGGCGGGGTGAGGGGGATGGGCAGGGAATAGTTAGGGGATGATGAGAGGTGTGAAGCGAATTGAAAGGCAGGGTGAAAGCGGGGGGGGGGGGGTCGGGGGGAATGGGGGGGAGGGGAGGAGAGAGGGGGGAATGGAAGGGGGGTGGGGGATCGGAGGGGAGGAGGCAGTAAATTTGGGTGAACGAGGGGTCATAGAAAGGCGAATGGAATGGAGGAGAGGGCAAGTTAAGAGAAGCTGAATGGGGAGGATGGAAGGGTGGAGTGGAGAGTCATATTTTCACACTTGGAAGGGTGGATATTTTCACACTTGGAAGGGTGGAGATTGTATCGTTTCGAAGGGTGGAGCTTACAACCTCCACCCTCCAAGAGAAGGGGGGAAGGTAAGAGGGAAAGGCGAATGGAGAGTTATGTTCTCACGCTTGCTTGAGCGAGGTGAGAGCGCTGAAGTTGGCAACGAAGGCATCAAGTCGACCCTCCAGCAGGTTGGTGCGGAGATCTCTGTGGGATGGTTGGTGCATGGTGCATGGTGTATGGTGCATGGTGCATGGTGCATGGTGCATGGTGCATGGTGAATGGTACATGGTACATGGCGGGAAAAAATCAGCGCATGGGACACATAGACACATGGGCACGAGGGCACATGAGCACAAGGGCGCATGGGCGCGAGGGCACATGGGCGCGATGGCACATGGGCATGGCGGGAGGGAGAGAATCAGGGCATGCGGGTATCTAAGCGCGCACCTTGCCGCTGGAATTTTGAGGCTGTCTCAAAACTACTAGTGCACAAGACGGCATGGGCATGGAGTGAAATGGGATGACATGCGACTGCACATTGCAGCAGTCAAAACAGCGAGACGATGAGGCGCGTTGGAGCAGTGTCAGCTTCTGAGACGGTGATCCATGTAGGCTGGGCCGGCAGGTGATGATAATACACTTATGGGCAGCTTATGGGCAGCTTATGAGCAGCTTATGGGCAGCTTATGAGCAGCTTATGGACAGCTTATGAGCAGCTTATGAGCAGCTCATGGGCAGCTTATGGGCAGCTGATGAGCAGCTTATGGGCAGCTTATGAGCAGCTTATGAGCAGCTTATGGGCAGCTTATGGGCAGCTTATGAGCAGCTTATGGGCAGCTTATGAGCAGCTTATGTGCAGCTTATGAGCAGCTTATGAGCAGTGTCACTGGCAGGAACGGGTAGAGGCGGGGTTGACTGACAGCGAGGTGAGAGCAGTGAGCTTGGAGATGTCGGCATGCATCCTGCCACTCAATGCGGAGGCCGAGAGGTTGCTGCATGCATGCATCCATGCACACGTGCATAACAGTCCCGCGGGTGTGGGGAGGAAGGGGAAAGGGGAAATGGAATGGGGAAATAAGAGGGATCACCATGAGAGCGCTCTCATGGAGGGAGACGTCATGGTGATAGGCAGCAGTGAGTAAGGGCGACGAGAAATCTTAGACAGGCGAATAGAAACGAACAAATAGCAATGAGCAAGGAGCAGTGAGAAATGAGAAGGGAGGATGAAGCACTCACAGGCTGACGACCTCGCCACTAGGGGAGCAGTGCACACCGGCCCAGGCGTCATTGACAGCAGTGGTCGAATCGGCAAAGGAGCAGACGGATGCGGAGTTCCAGCTTGTATGCGTCACTCCCAGCGCTGACTTGATGTTTAGCAGAGCCACGGCTGGCAGCGGCAGCAGTGGGCAAAGAGGAACGGATGTTGGAAGGAGGGGGAAAAGAGGGATGGCGGGCATGGAAGGCGAAACAACATGTGAGGTCGTTTTTTGCAAGGTTAAAAAAAAAAGCAAAAAACAGTCGCACGGGGATGTCGGTAAGGAGGGGGGCATGGAAGGGGCAACAACACGTGCGATTCAGTAGAATGGATGTTGATTTGGTAGAGTGGATTCAGTAGAATGGATGTTGATTTGGTAGAGTGGATTCAGTAGAATGGTTGTATGCACATGGCAGCACATGATGATGGGTAAGCTGATGCCGGATGGCATGCAAGGCATGGATGGCATGCAAGGCATGGATGGCATGCAAGGCATGGATGGCATGCAAGGCATGGATGGCATGCAAGGCATGGATGGCATGCAAGGCATGGATGGCATGCAAGGCATGGATGGCATGGAAGGCATGCAAGGCATGGATGGCATGACGAAGAAGAAGAAGCATCCATGGGCACAACGAGGCACGCATGAGATGGGATGCAGATACACTGGTGTGCCATCTCGCTCCGCTGAATTAGATTCACACATTGACACACCGACACACCGACACACTGACCTGATACTGCCTCCATTGCGCCAGCAGCATACTCTGTGGAGATACGTGCCATGGAGAGGCACACCCAAGACGGTTGGGAGAGAGAGGGGCAGGGGGTGGGTGAGACACAAAGGCATGGAGGCACGGCGAGACACAAGGCATGGAGGCACGGCGAGACACAAGGTAACGGAAGCACGGCGAGATAGGGGATCTTAAAGAGGTTGGCAAAGAAGTTGGGGATTTAAAAAAAAAAGGTGGCAGAATGGCATATCCCGGAGAACACATATGATAGTGAATTCCTGGCTTATCACATATGCTTGCCATGCCATGCCGAGTGGCACACACCTTAGCATTGCATCCCATGGGCAGCACCAGCATGGGCTGAATGGCGTGATAGGAGTCTAGTTTTGAGGTGCTGCCAATCACACCTTTGCATACCATGGGCAGCACGGGCTATTGGCCAAGTTGGCACGACCATAACACATGGATCATACCTTTGCATACCAAAAAACTCACATCGACACATACTTTTGCATACCTCAAAACTCACATCGACACATACCTTTGCCTTGCATACCTCAAAACTCACATCGACACATACATTTGCATGCCTCAAAACTCACATCGACAGATACCTTCTCATACCTCAAAACTCACATCGACACATACCTTTGCATACCTCAAAACTCACATTGACACATACCTTTGCATTCCTCAAAACTCACATCGACACATACCTTTGCACGCCATGGGCAGCACGGGCGCATTGGGCGAGTTGACAGTGGCCGCGCTGACAGCAGCATCAGCGAGGGGAGCACAGGTGCCGCCCGGGCACAGCTCGCCCTGCCCGTTGTCAGAGCCGCACATGGCGCAGGCAGCCGAGGCGAGGCGCTGGACGGTGCCGTAGGTGCGGCAGCCGGAGGCGTTGAGGAAGCAGTTGTTGTCGCCCGCACAGAACACAAGCGGCAGCTTGGGGAAGGTGCCTGAGAGGAAGTTAAAGCCCAGGTCCAACACGCGCAGGGACTTGGAGGGGATGGGCACCGTGCCTGTGAGGTAGTTGGAGAAGAGGCCGCTGGGAGAGGGGGGAGGGGGTGGGGAGGGGTGGGGATGGGCAGAGTGAGGATCTGTGTTTGAGCTGACTTCAAAAGCGAGCAGGGCCTTGGAGGGGATGGGCACTGTGCCCATGAGGTAGTTGGGGAACAGGCCCCTGAGGGCGGAAGAGAGGTGGGGGGAGGAGGGGGCGTGTGTTGGGTTGGGGGGGGAGGGATGGGGATAGGCACGGGAATGGAGCAGCATGAAGCAGAGCCGGGTTTGTGCTGCGAGGAAGCCAGGTGGAGCGGGAGCGGAAGAGTGCGAGGAGCTGAGTGTAAAGAGGGGCAGAGCTGAGTGTAAAGATGGGCAGAGCTGAGTGTAAAGGGGGGCTTATGGGCTGAATCGGAGAGGGTACCACCAAGTGTGCTGTAGCTGCCTGCCTTGAGGTGCGGGTCATGCTGGGCTTACAGTGAGGTGAGGAGAGGCAGCGAGGCGATTTTTGAGTCGACTGAAAAGTCGACTTATTACACACCTCCCTGCCTTGCCTTGCGGTGCGGGTCATGCTGGGCTTACAGTGAGGTGAGGAGAGGCAGCGAGGCGATTTTTGAGTCGACTGAAAAGTCGACTTATTACACACCTCCCTGCCTTGCCTTGCGGTGCGGTGCGGGTCATGCTGGGCTTACAGTGAGGTGAGGAGAGGCAGCGAGGCGAAGCCAGAAGGAATGGGCCCTGAGAAGAAGTTGTAGTGGAAGAAGCTAGGGGAGGGGTGGGAGGGGTGGGAGGGGTGGGAGGGGCAGCAAGGGCAGGATGAGCACAAGGAGGAATACGATCCGAGTATAAGAAGCAGAGGACTGACATGGGCTGAAAGGTGCTGAAACGGCTTACAGCACCTCGGGAGCGGTCATGGGGTTACAGCGCCTTGGGGGAGTGGTCATGGGCTTATGGGCTTACAGCGCCTTGGGGGAGTGGTCATGGGCTTATGGGCTTACAGCGCCTTGGGGGAGTGGTCATGGGCTTATGGGCTTACAGCGCCTTGGGGGAGTGGTCATGGGCTTATGGGCTTACAGCGCCTTGGGGGAGTGGTCATGGGCTTATGGGCTTACAGCGCCTTGGGGGAGTGGTCATGGGCTTATGGGCTTACAGCGCCTTGGGGGAGTGGTCATGGGCTTATGGGCTTACAGCGCCTTGAGAGTGGTCGCGAAATTCAGCGGTGCAGCAAAGACGTCCAGGCGGCCCTGCAAGAGGTTGTACCCGAGGTCGCTGGGGCAGAGGGGGCGAGGAGAGGGAGAGGTCACTACTAGGCATGAGCAAAAATCAGCCAGGACAGGCCGAAATGGGCCCGGCCTCGCCCTGGAAGAGGTTGTAGCCGAGGTCGTTGGAGCAGAGGAAGGAGCAGGGTTAGGTTTTTTAGAATCCTCAAAAACCGAGATCGCTGGAGCAGAGAAGGAGCACCGGGGGAAGGAGATGGGGGAGCAGAAAGGGGGGAAGAGGCCACGGCAGGGCAGTGGACGTGGGGGCTCTGTTCCACTCCATGTGCATCGCGACAGGGGGGTGCAGCGACAGGGGGGTGCAGCGACAGGGGGGTGCAGCGACAGGGGGATGCAGCGACAGGGGGGTGCAGCGACAGGGGGGTGCAGCGACAGGGGGGTGCAGCGACAGGGGGGTGCAGCGACAGGGGGGTGGAGCAACAAGGGTGGGGGGAGCTGGGCTTACAGGCATGTGAGCGTGGTGAGCTGGGCTTACAGGTATGTGAGCGTGGTGAGCTTGGAGACGTCCTGGTGAAGGGAGCCTTTCAGTCCCTGACGAGTCAGAGCACTGTGTGTGGGGGAGTGAGGGCGGGAGGTGCAGAGAGGAGTGGGCAAGTGACTTGAGAGGCCTTCATTACAAGGGTGAGAGGCACACAGGAAAGATGAGAGCAGGAGCGGCACGTGGGGCAGAGCCAGGCAAGATAAGTCACCGCCACAGCTTCTCTCAAGGGGTCCATGACAGCGACGGGGGTACCCTTCGTCACAGTTTCTCTCGCCCTCTCCTCTGCATTTCCGCCCCCCTTCCATCCATCCCATCCCCTCTCACTTGCCATCAGAGCACTCACATGGTAAGTTGGTTTTTGAGCACTCACACGCTCGTCACTTTGCCCGCAGCAGTGCACTGAATGCCGCCCCACTGCGCGGGCAGCAGGGTCTTCCCCTCCAATGTGCAGAGCGCTGCGGGGTTCCAGCTGGTGAGCGTCACGCCCAGCGACGCCTTGAGCGCCAACAGCACTGCAGCTGCGCAGGGGGGAGATGGGGGGAGATGAAGGAAGGATGCAGAACTTTTGATTCGACTCAAAAGCCAGTTGGTGAGCATCACGCCCAGCGACGCCTTGAGTGCCAACAGCACTGCAGCTGCGCAGGGGGGAGATGGGGGGAGATGAAGGAAGGATGCAGAACTTTTGATTCGACTCAAAAGCCAGTTGGTGAGCGTCACGCCCAGCGACGCCTTGAGTGCCAACAGCACTGCAGCTGCGCAGGGGGGAGATGGGGGGAGATGAAGGAAGGATGCAGAACTTTTTATTCGACTCAAAAGCCAGTTGGTGAGCGTCACGCCCAGCAGTGATTTGAGCGCCAGCAGCACTGCAGCTGGGCAGGGGGGAGATGAAGGAAGGATGCAGCACAGAACAGACAAGAGGAGGACTGACAGAGAGACCATCATAGAGTTTGAAATGGGGCTGAAGTGGGTTGAGTGGGGCTGAAGTGGGTTAAGTAGGGCTGAAGCGGGTTGAGTGGGGCTGAAGTAGACATGGGCATGAGCCGAGCCTGGCTCGGCTTGGATCGTTTGGGGTCGAGCCGAGCCGGCTTGCAGGTCGAGCCGGCTCGGCTCGCCTCGAGCCGGATCCTCAGGATCCCCGGCTCGGCTCGGCTCGTCAGGGGGGCTTGTGTGGGCTCTCAATTGGGGCCACGGGGTTTGGGGTCTCTAGTATAGGGGATAATCCAGATTGTTTAGCTGATCGTTTGCTTCTACATCTTACAAAACTATCAGGAGGAGCTGCCGGTTTAAATATGGCTGGCTGAGGTCGATATATTGGCGCGACAGGGTGAGCTTAGGGTTGGCAGACAATATTGGCGAAGGGGGGGGGGGAAGGGGGGGGGGGGGTTTCGATCTGAAATTTGACAGTTGCGAAACCCCCCTTACCCTAGCCGCGAGCCGGCTGGCTCGAAATCGAGCCAGCTCGAGCCGGCTCGACTCTGGCTCGCCTGATTTCACGTGCGTGAGCCGAGCCGAGCCGAGCCAGGTGTGGCTCGGCTTGTGCCCATGTCTAGGCTGAGCTGAAGTGGGTATTTCGAGAAAGATAGGAGTGCTTGTTGAGCCATGAGCCATGAGCCATGAGCCGGCACGGCACTCACCATCAGAAGCATCCATGGCAACTCCAGAGCACGCCATCACAAGGGAGGGGGAGGCCGGCAGATTGGGCATCCCTTGCGCCGCTACACCAGAGGAGTCAGGCGCGCATGTCTCTGCGCCGCCGCAGAAAGGCGGCTGCCCGTTGGTGCTGCCGCAGATGGCGCACTCAGCGGCGGGGCGCTGCGTGGTGCCGCCCATGCCGCACTTGGACGGGGAGGTGAAGCAGTTGGTGTGGCCGTCGCACCACGTGAGGGAGAGGGTCGGCATGTCGTAGAAGAAGTTGGCTCGCAGATCCATGGAGGACAGCTGGCTCGATGCTACAGGCAGGCTCCCTGTGAGGTAGTTGTAGGCCACGCCACTGCAGGCAGAAGGAGAGACGACTCGTGAGCAGCAGATTGGTTATGCAGCAGATTGGTTACGCAGCAGCACCAGAGCTTGTGTTGAGGGGGGGGCAGCAAAGCTGGGTATGGGGATGTGTGAACGAGGGCTCACAGGAATGTGAGGCTGTCGAGGTTGAGCAGGTTGGACGGCAGGGAGCCGTAGAGCCAGTTGTTCGGCAAATGGCTGTGGAACAGGGGCACCGGGTGGTGACGGCAGGGGTGCAGGAATGGGAGGAAAGGGAGAGAAGAAACCAAAGGGTTTGGATTTAGAGAGAACCGACCACAAAGCAGCACGGAGGATAGGAAAATGGACCCCAGAGTCAGCTGGAGCAGGAAAGTTGTCCACTACGCCTTGGAAGTGGAGCACGGGGCACTCGCAAGAAAACGGCCCAGCGAGGGGGACGAGGTGAATTTTTGAGTCGACTCAAACGACCCCTCGTTCGTTCCGCAGCACAAAGGCACACTGCCAGCAGCTTTTCCCGAGGCTAAACAGCGCAAAGGCAAGGCAGGGCAGGGCAGGGCAGGGCAAGGCAAGGCAAGGAAAGGCAGGGCAAGGCAAAGTAGTCTCACATCTCTTTGATCCCAGTGAGGGGGAAGAGGTTGGAGGCGAAGTGGCTGACGTCTGCCTGGAACAGCTGCTGCTGCAGGGCGCTGCAGGGCGGGGCAGCGGGGGGAGGGAGAGGGCGCAGGCATGAAGAGGAAGTGAGGAGTGTGGACGGAACATGCGATGCCAAGAAGGCCGTGGATAGCAGTGGGTGCGCAGAGAGGGGGGGTGGTGACCAGTGGCGAGCAGCATGGAAAAGGGGCAGCATGGACGCAGTTCTCCTGACCAGAGGCGGCGTGCCTGACCAGTGACCAGAGGCGGCATGCACTCACAGGAGGGTGAGGGCCGTGAGCTTGGAGATGTCGGCATGGATGGATCCTGACAGCCCGTCGTTCTTCAGCTCACTGCCACAAACACACAGTTCGATGCAAAGTGGGTGACCGGAGGACGTGATGTTCCAAACCAATCAGGCAGCTGTTGACCCTCATAAATACTTGACCGCTCTCCAGCACGTAACCGCTCGCAAACAATCCACGGTTCTCGAACACTTGACCCCTCAAAAACACTTGACAGCTCTCGCACACGCATCATCCATCGCTCAAGTTCCATTGCACACTCAATGCTCACCCACTCTCTCTCCCCAAGCTTCATGCTCACATCCAACCCACACTTCCTCGCAAGCCCCACAACCCCACTGCCCCACGACCCCACTGCCCCACGACCCCACTGCCCCACGACCCCAGTGCTGCAGGGCTCACATGCTGACAATGCTGCCGGTGGCATCGCAGAGCACCTTGGCCCATGTGGGGAGCGTGCTGCTGCTCTCGCCCTTCACCTGGCAGGACACACCATCCGCCCAGCTGGTGAAAGTGACGCCCAGAGACGACTTGAGGGCCAACATGGCTGGGGAGGGAGTCATGGGGGCGAAGAAGAGAGAAAAGGGCGTTCACTTGGTGCAGCGTGCGCACTTGCCACCCACGAGATGAAAGCGACGCCCAGAGACGAACTGAGGGCCAGCATGGCTGGAGGAGGGTCGGGAGGGTAGGGAGGGGGGGAGAGTGAAAGAGGGGGGAGGAGAGTGTGGGCTTTGGGATGGGAACGAGCCGCGCAGTAAGGGACAGGCGATTCTTTTGTGCGAGGTGCATGGAGGCTGGATGTTTGACTGCAATGACTAGGAAATTGAAGAGCGCGCCAAAGAAAGAAGTAGAGGGTCACACTCAAACACCCCTCTCTCTCTCTCACCTGCACTGTCACCCGGATTCATACCGATAGCAGTAGCACCTGCAGCCAACAGGCAGAGCACCGGGGGGAAAGTCAAACACTTGGTCAATGAGAGCAGCACGAGACGACGGGCGATGCACGACATAACTGGACATGCACGACACGACACGACATGCACGACACAACACGACATGACAGAAGCCCCGCCTTTGCGCTATCCTTAACGCCGGCACTGTGTAACATCTCGTCCCCTACACCACTAGGTAAAACGAGTGTTGCTCAGAGGCGCGCAGTGGTGCGTTACACTCGTCCCCCCCTGGTGCCAACGACCTTGTTGGAGTCGGCCCTGACAAGGACCTCGCTCAGTTCGCTGGAAGCAACAGCAAACTCACTGATGCTTCAGGCCAGTGCGATAGGATCGTTCGCTGGGTTCACGACTGGATACCAACCGTAGCTGTATTTTCTCGCACACTATTCTCGCTCGCGTCCCCAGTCGCCCGGGAAATACGTCCAGTCGGGAGTCGAACCCTCGCTCTCGACACCAAATGTAACATCTCGTCCCCTACACCGCTAGGTGAAACAAGTGTTGCTCAGAGGCGCGCAGCAGTATCTTCCACACTGTATATAACGCAGCACTAGCCAAAACGGGGGTATTTGAGGTCGCAGCGGATGCGTTTTTAACCCCATTGTAAGTCCGTGGACGTTACACTCTGGCTCGGCCCGATCGTAGTAGAACCGGCAGCAACAGTTGCACCAGCGTCAAGCGTGCAGCTCCAAGTAAGCACGTAAAAAAAGTGCTCACCAAGTATACTAACATGCCAAATCCGACTGATTTTCGGGCGGTTTGTGATGTGGAAATGTCGGTGGCCGTCCGACGGCCTCGACCATCTAGAGCCTAGATTCACGACATGATGTGGGAACTTTGGAGACCCCATTACCTTGATCGAGTTTAGTGGTAGTAGCAGTAGTAGCTGCGACGAGGTCGAGCTGACGCGACACTAGGAGGAGGCCGACTACGAGGCACACAAGCCCCCGCGACGCCATGGCGTCAAATGTAGTAGTGGTAGTACCAATAACGCTCGACCACTATAAGAACTGTGTCGAACCAGCAGAATGCGTTCTTAGTACTGTAGTATACTACTGACAACACCCCCTTGTGAAGAAATGGGATCAATCGAAGAAACGAGAAGTAGCCCCTGTCTATTGCCGCAATATCGGCGTGGTGCAACTACCCCGCTGGTCGTCAGTTGTTGGGCAAACCGAGGCAAACCGAAGCCAACCCCTCGTTTTTACCGTACTCAACAATTTTTTTACGCGATGGATCCTTAATCAACCGCCACATATCCCCCCCGTCGGTCTCCCCTTGAACGACCAGTCCCCCTTCGACCGACGACCGACGGTACTTCCACCACGCCTTCGAGGCCTAGAAAGACTCGTCAAGGGCTATCTTCGGCCACCCTGGTTTTTGGGATGCTAGGCGGAACACTAGCGGCAAGCGTGTCATGAAAAATCGTGTCAAATATACACGGGAAATGATCAAAAAGGGTCCTAGCCCCGCCAGAGGCGTGAGAAAAAAAGGTGCAGCAGCTTTCTGCCCCGAGACCTTGTCTCCGAACCTGTGATACAACGTCTTCGTCGTACAACACGTTAGTATTTCTGTTTCGCGACACAGCTCAGGTTTGTGGGGCGCGTCGTATTGTGGCCCTGTGAGGTGGGACATTTATAAGAACAGTGTTTTAGGGCATTAAAAAACAAAATAAAACCCCTAACGCCCTTACATGCGACTCGGGGTGGCATCAACCCTAAAATCGCAACCGAGCTGCGTGTTTAGGGTTGATGCCATCTCGAACGGAATTCGGTCCCCAATGGGTTTATGCTTTTGCCATTTGTTCAGAGACGTTTACTGGAAAGTACTCCAAAATAAAACAGAGTGTATTACAGGCTCGGAGGTAGACTTTTTGCTCATACCCCTGGCAGAGCGAGGACCCTTTCTGATCATTTCCCAAAAACAATCTCATGACACGCTTCTGCGTGACACCGTGTCAGCCAGAGGCACTCTCAGCAATTCCTTCCACCACGTGCAGAAGACGTTTTGTAGTCATGGCAGACTGCCCCACCTAACAAGCAGCCTCTCGCTAAGCCCCTGGGTATTCCGGAAGGGGACGGAATCGCCTCTGTATACCCGTTAACAGACAGAATCACCCCCCAAAAAAACCCGTTACCGAAAGGAATCGGCCGCTACAAATTCGGCAAGTAAGGAATCAAAGGCAGTGGGGGGGGGGGGGGGGGGGGGGGCTTAGGCTAGGGAATCGCGCGAAATTGTTTCCGTAAGCTGGACGGATTCGGGAACAAATCACACCGTAAAAACGGATTCATTGGGAACGTTACTCTTAACTTCTTGACATGAAGAGAGATTGCCCTATTAGCAAGAGGCCTGCATCGCACAGCAACTTGAGAAGAGTACACCCTCGGCCGTCGGACGACGCTCGGCGACGGGGCGGCGCTCCCAAACACCCCTCAGGCGGCGTCGCTCCGTCAGGGGTGTTTGGGAGCGACGCCGCCTGAGGGGTGTTTGGGAGCGCCGCCCCGTCGCCGAGCGTCGTCCGACGGCCGAGGGGGTAATCTTCTGAAGTTGCTGTGCGATGGCCTTGGTTCGAATCGAACATCAGCTTGAAGTTGCTGAGGTTTTGCGTGACACTGTGCCCGAACCAGAGGTTTGGGGCGAGGTTCTGTAGAACCTAGCCTTTCAGACATGGCCTGGGCAGCATGCTTGGGCTACAAGAGTTCCCCTGCCCCGTATGTTGTGCTGTAGCCCAAACTTCCAGCCTGAGCCTACAGCTCCGGAAAATCACCTAACGGCCCCATGTCATAATTGACGGTACTGACGGTATGCACTGCTGTTTTACCGTTCAGCTTTGTCAGGTTTTGATGTCGCGGTGGCCTGGACCGTAGAACCAGCTCTGTGGGGCAACGTACAGTAGACCTAGACCGCGATAATATTACAACCTGAAACTAAGCGGAAGAAGAACAATTGTTTCCACCCTGACCATTTTTGAGTGCGTAGACAGTACTCCCTTGTTCCTACGGCCTCTGCGCGGCAGACTCCATGCGGGAAAAAAAAAAAAAAAAAAAAAAAAACAAGAGGCGACGAAATCGTCTTAGGGTTGCGGAGCTCTATTGTATAAAAAAGACGAAAAAAAACTTTTGCTAGTATACTACTCAGAAATAACCCAAACCCGAAGTACACAACATTTAGAAGTGTATGTAAATGAAACATATTCTGTGTTTTTATATCAGTCAAATTATGAACATGTCACGACTGCAAAGCGTGAAAACCGCCACCTAGAGCTGGTTCTTCTATTTCCATGTTTTAGATTCTTATGTTACTTTTCTGTATTGTTTATTATTACGCTACAATTCTTACTTTATCTCGTTTTCGTTTTCGTTTTAGTGTCGTTTTTTTCGATACTGTGCGATATGATTTCCCTGCCTGGTGGCGAAAGTTGCCACCTGGCAGATTTTGTTTTTTTGCGCCTAGTGGCGAGGCTCGTCACGCGCACAATTTCTGACGGAAAATACTGCAGCCGTCCAGTGACGTCAAATTTGTTCTGCCACCCGTTCGGACTTTTTCTCGTCAAAGCGATCCGGCTTTTTCAACGACGCGAATTACGAGGGCGTATTTTATATTTCGAATTTCATTGATTTTCACCGATTAGTTGGTTATGGAACTGGCAATACGCGAAACAATGAAGTTCGAACTCGTAGTTCCGTAGTATTGAATGCAACACGAACAATTGGTCAAACAGGTAAAACACGCCCTGACAAGTTCGAAAACTAGTTCACAAATTCCAATCTAGCTGGGCAGTTTCTGATGGAAACGAGAAAATAGATTGAACTTCCTTCAGAGCTGCGAGAGCCTGGCCATTCCACCTACTTTTCGTTCTCCCTCTCACACAATTCTTCCTCCATTCCTCAATCTCACAGCTTTCTCGTCACCTCCAGCAGTTAGCGTTCTAGCGTTCCAGCCATCCCATAGTTGGGTTAAGTCCTCGTTTCTCTCTCAGCTTGTCGTCAACCTCCTAGCTTGATAGTCATGCTAGCTTTTCCCTCCTTACTTTCCCTAGGCCTCTCTCTTCTTATATTCCTTGCTGTTTTCCTCCAACAAACAAACATCCTCTCACTTTTTCATATCTCTTATCTCTCTAGGTGCTCTAGCTTGTTAAGGAACCACGGGTAATCACCTTTCAGCTTTATTTCAAGGTACGGATTCTACCCTCCCGCTATGCCCTTCTCCTCTGCTCTCGTCCATACCTTGTCTTAATTCTTCCTTTCTCCCACCATTACGGGAAATCGTTCCTTACGTCGCAGTTTCTAATTCTCCATGTTCTCGTTGTTCATTGTCGTTCTCTTCATTTCTACGTCCTCTTATCCAGGTGTCACATGTCTCTTATTCTGCTAACCCTTGTGATCTGGCTGCAGGTTCGAAACTTTGAACCACTCTTATTATGCATCTGCTATATTTTTATTGCATAATGCATACTTTATTGTCTTGAATTGTTTTGGCCTTTGCTAGGTGCATGCAGTCCTGTTGTGTGTTGTGCATGGGCACTCGTGGTAATACGTTTTGTGTGTCTCAAAATCTGGATTGCTTTTATCGTTTCATGAAGGTCCTTTGACTCTCTCTGTGAGTGCGGTCAATTGACTTGGAATCGATATAGTAAATCAGGTTTTGGTATTCACAAATTTTATTATTCTGTGTATTATCTTAGCATTGGGCTTGAAGCTTCCCCCCCCGGCTAGAGCTGGGGAAGCGATAGCCTATTTTTGTCATCGAAAAAAAAAAAAAAAAAACACATGAATCAATGGGAGACAAATACATGCCGATTTTCTTTTGCCCGCACTCATTTGTGGAAATAGTGTAATGATAATTATTACACTATTGTAGATCTACATTCGTAAGATAACATCTAGACATTAGATTCTAGCATACTTCAACATTTAAGAGTAGAGATTAGTGTAACTTTCTTAACCCAATTTATTTCTATTTTTTACTAAGAAATGCTGGATTTTTTTTATTAAAAAAAAAATCCGTCCGATCGATTGCAATAGGTTGCTCCGCAACCCAAAAAAATGAGCACTGAAAAGCTGACGTCGGGCTTCCTAACTCGAGAAACACTAAATCGAGCAGAAAAAATGAGCATTGAAAAGCTGACGTCGGGTTAAATTTGTTTTCCAAGGGTATCTGGATCCGGTCTTCAGGAGCTGCATTCGGGGGGTGAATACCCTCTCGGCGGCACCCCCTGTGAAATTACCGCTGGGTAGGTGTACATATAGTTGTCGAGTGACCCGCTGGGTTACCCTTGAAAAGATCCACGGGGAAGGGCCACAGGTGCAGAGCCTGGGGGGCTATGGGCGCACTTACCCGCTATTCAACAAGCCCTTTTAACCCAGTGGTTAGTGACTGGGTTTCTGACATGGTATCAGAGCCAAAGGTCTTGGGTTCTAGTCCCAGTGCCAGCGCCGCAGAGGCGCCCGTGTCTTCCACCTATCCCAGCGAGGGGGGGTGTCGAGTGACCCGCTGGGTTAACCTTGAAAAGATCCTCGGGGAAGGGCCACAGGTGCAGAGCCTGGGGGGCTATGGGCGCACTTACCCGCTATTCAACAAGCCCTTTTAACCCAGTGGTTAGTGACTGGGTTTCTGACAATAGTCTGTTCTGTACGGTGTAACTGCCGAGCTGGCATTGTAGGTTCGCTTCCTAGTTCTCTCGACCACAAACCTGCCAATGAAATTTCGACAGCCAATAGCATACGCACCGACTAAACTTGCAGTCCAGGGAACGAACATGAGAATGTCTTTGACCCGTGGACACCAATTCGCCCGAATATTCCGCAACATCGCATTCCATGAATCCTCTACACTCCATCTAAGGGCGTATCCCTAGCAGGTGTCATTGTGAGAAAATGTCTTCCAATATTTTTGGAAACCAATCAAATACGCTTAAACCTCAAACAAACGGACGTGATTGGCTTCCAGCTTTCTCGGAAGACATTTTTTCGAGATGACACGTGCTATGGATACGCCCTTACAGAATCCCTCTGGCTTAATCAAAGGGCTTGCAATAAATGATCAATCCCCTTCTCTAATACTGTTTTCCTATACTTAAGGAAGGAACTTCCATTTCCTTAGCGAATCCTTGCTAATACCTTGTAAATCCCTGAACTTCAGACAACCCAGTTCCTGAATCACGTTTGAGACCCCCACACATGCACGTGGAGTCACGTCCGACACCTCCGAGCCCGGAGGCGCCCAAACCACCTCGCGTGGGTTTTGTGGACCATCCTCGAGGTTTCTCGGTAGGCTAGTTGCGTTTGTATATAGTTTTTTTTTGTCTCATTTATATTTGACTTGAATCACTACCACTCTATTGCATTACTCGACTCCCATCCGGATGCGTACTAAAACAATCTTCCATAAAGAGGTAGTTTTTAATGGGATCTCGCATGTTATGAAACAGGAGCTGTCTAACGATCATGCAGGGACTTTTTTTGTCGAGCCAC